GAGGGAGCAGGAAGACGCACCCACACTGCAGTGGAATATCCCGCCGCGCTGATAACATTTGAATTTTTGGCTTGATTTATGGCCATAACATGAAACTAACTCACTGACATATCGGAACAAGCTACAACAAAAAAGGAAAAGCCAAGCCAGCACTGTGAGAGTACAACAACCACCATGTATATCTATATAGCAATTTTCACGCTGACGCAAATAGAATCGAGTTATTGGGGCATATTCATTAGCTTTTCTTTAAGTTTCACAAACATCGACAGCTGATGTGCGAGCTACAATTAGCTTACTGATATTTTAAATTGCAGCTTAGTTAATTCCATCGATAGGTTCTGTTACTCCTTTTTAAGCGTAAACCATTGGCAAAATAATTGAATAATTTATTATTTAGACTGTTTATTGAATGGGATTTGTTGAGTAAAAAACCGAGCAAATGTGGCAAGATGCAGTTTAGCTCTGTTGGCTTTCTCTCCGGATGAACTTAGCATTTTTCATAGCTGCTTCACATATTTGCAAAGCGTTTGCTTTTGGGTTAAGCCCTTTTATTGCATTCTGCAGATGGCGATGTGACGTTGTGCCATTACTGGCCCTCTGCAACTCCCCCGGCTCCTTCACTTAAGATCTAATAAACTTTACATTTGTTTGGCTTGGTCCACCCACATTCAGTCTGCTGCTTGATATTGCCCAGTCAGAGCGCAATTTTTTCTGAGCTCCTCGAGGATACCATTTTTTATGCGAAGTCCTCATCTGCAGTCGGCCAACTTGCCTCCATTGTTGACTTCTCCGTAATGCCAGTGCTTTCTGTGGCTTTTCGACTATTTCGCTCCTCACTCATTGCATTTTCGGACATTTACTTGGTCCATAAGTTTGTCAGTTGCCTTTTCACTGCCTGTTTCCTGGCTCCTCGCCACTTTGACATCTTAAAGTTGATCAAATAGTGGCCACAAGTTTTGCAGCTTTTGTGTATGTATATTTTCTGTGGTCATGCTTTGCGGTTTCTTCAGCTCGTTTCTGTATTTATTTATGCAGATCTCTGTTTTTCCCCAAACATCTCTTTTCTCTTTTTGTGCAACGAATGCACCGAACGGGGGGTTAGTTGAAAAGCTTTATTTGCACCAGCATTTTTGTAATTAAAAATTATTATTTCTGCATATAACGCGGTGTATGCGATATGCATTTTCAGCGGCTTGGAACATTTTTAATTAGATTGCGTTTTACTGGAATGGTTCCTTCACCATGACCCAGTAAAATTCGAGTGCATTCCACGGTATCCACGACCAAGGACAAGGCCAAGTACATTTCTATTATTACCATCACCGTGTGGTGGCTCTGGTTTAATTAATTTTGGGACTGCAGCCTGTCAGTTATACAACTTATACAGCATGAGAGTGATATAAGCTGCCGACTCGTTATCAGCGTACAATCACTATGGAGAGTGACGCACATCCACCGCCGCATTCCCAGCCACATTGGGTGCCGCATCCAGGGGCAATTAAACGCCCACCGAAATGCCGATGGTGCTGTTGGTGGGGCATAAATCACACAAAACTATTCCATGTACCGAACTCTCTATTCCCTATTCTATTCCCGACTCCCGCCATTTACACGGAAACATGCTTATCGGGGTTTTGGCGGCTGATTGCCACTGCCATTGCCACCGCCGACTGCCTGTCTATTTGCTGCCCTTCAATTTTATTCAATAAGTTTCGTTTATGACTCGGCCACGCTCTGGTTCGCCCTGTCCTGTTAGCCATCCACCACATCTATCTATGTGGATATCCCGCAGCTATTGTAGCTAATATCGAACATGGCTTTTAATTGAATTTCACGCGCTCACCATAAAGTTACAGCGTGTCCAGTTCGCAACTTTATGGCTGCTCTGGATGGGATATTTATATCTGTATCTGTGTGTATATATAGCGTGCGTCTCCTTTAATTGCCATCGCTTCTTGTTATGGCAATCGTAAAATCCGGCTCTGTTATTGCAGTGTTCCTAGTTTATAATAATAATGATAATAATAACCGTAATAATGGACAGTGACATCAGTGCGTATACGCTATGTGGCGAGTGCTTGTAAAATTAATCGAATACTATATTAAACGAAATTGTTCATTAGCCTTCCATGTTCATGCGGTTCAGTGCAAGTATGAAAGGGCAAACCTATACGAGTATACGCGTTTTAATTACCACCTGATAATTGCGATCGAACGTCGTTATCACCTTTTATTATTGGGCTTAAGGAAACGTTTCGTATCTACAATTGATGACGTATACATGTCTGCTCGATAAGCAGCTCTTCAAAACACTTCGTCGTTTCCATGGCGATATTTTGTATGCCTAGATTTGACAAATCTAGATCCTAGCAATTGACTAGTAATAAAGTAAATCAACTTGTTTTGTACACATTGAAGTTTCAATAAATTGCAGTTATATCTGATAAAAAACTAAATACCCTGCAATTATTAAATCAGCTAGGCAAATAAGCATGTCTAGTTGGAGATTCAAGCTTTAAATGCAATTAAAAGTAGTTATTTCAGTTGAAACTAAAAAGTTAATTAGCATTATTATGCGTACTTCCTCCTTCCGCTCCATCCTGATTGTTAAATTTTTGGCACTCTCGATTTTATGAACCTGCTATTATGGAACTCCCTGTGATTGGAAACCGTTGTTTTCGATTGGATGTGACTCTGATAATGGGGTTATCAAGTTTCCTGGCCACTTTAGTTATTTATGGTTAGCAATAGCTAATTACTCACTTAGGCAGTGCGTTCTTTGGTTTGGTATCGCTGTAGAATACCTTCGAGTCGACAGTGCTGAAAAGAGGGTGTTATAAATTAAATTATAGCTAATACTCTAAGAAAAATCACCTTTTCTTCGGTGTGACTCAAGTGCAAGGCAGACGAGTGAGTTACCAACCAGCTGGCTGACAGGAAGCAGACGCGGAGTGGCATTGGAAATTGTTTTACTACGGGGCCATTTACAAAACAATTACACTTATTTGTGCGCCATTTAACAGCTCGTCCTTCCACTGACAATCCATCAGCGGCTGTTTCTCCCCGTTCAGGGAAACTCTGCGGAACTCAAGGGAACCGAAAGCCGGCTGACGCTACTCGACTTCATTTCGTCCTGACAGCTCTGAGTGGAAATGAACCCTGGGGCCAGTCGATCCACTGGGCGAAAAATATTACGAATACCATTTGGGCGCCTGCCTAAGGCCAATTGAATTGACAGTAAGGAATATTAGGCTTTAGTAATGTGCGATTCATTTTTTTAAATATATCTTCTTCATATGTTTACTAGTATGTTGGTTCCTTTAACTCGTTTCTTTAAAAGTCTTGATCGACACTGTTTATCGGAGCAGCACAAATTTGTTGCAGTGCTCCTATTTCCGCTGCAGAAGAGTTGCTCCAAAATGACTGCTTAGTATGCAGCTCAGCAAGGAGAAGAGCAGCGACAGCTGACGAACTGCATACCTGCAATGGCAGGTAAATAAAATTAATCATACGCCCCGTTGCTCGTTGGCGTTCATTTTAAAATATTTGGGCATCTCAATTATTAACTTTGTTGTGAAAAATTGAAGATTTCATAAAATATAATTAACTACTTTTATTACAAATATTCATTAAGAGTTGTGTTAGGCATTCTATGTATTTGTACGTTACAACAAGAGAGAACGTGTATCTCATTAGCAATATATTTTTATTTATTTTATTAATGAGCGGCTCAAGTGCCTTTACCCTCATACATACTTTTCAAAAAATTAATCTACAGCAATTGCAATAATTTCTTCAGAAATTAATTTTTCATTATTTTACGCATTATTCATAACTTCAAGAGCAAATATAATTGGTTCTTGGAACTGTCGTAGTCAGCTAAATTAAAAGTACGAGGAATTTCTCCTAACCACACACAAACGAGACAGTGGGGCGTGGGATGATAAGAGGGCATGGTGCTCGAAATGATTAATTTGGCGTAAATAAATTAATAACCATTTAATAATAGTAAATAAAATCGGTGCAAAAAAAGATACGCGTAAAGATAAAGAATGCCTAAGTGAGGAATAGAATATATCTCATTTTATGAACTTGGTTATTTAGTTCAAAATTGATAATTACTTATGGGTGGGGTGCCATTGCTAACGTTACTAACGAATAGCGAAAACCCAAATAGCGAGGGCCAAAAAAAAAATATTTTGAACTTTTAGGAATTTAAATGTCCGAGGTACATATATAATCCGGTAAGCATTTTTGCTAATTGTCTCGAAACTTGTGTTTGTTTATGCCCGTCAAGTGATATTTGTTCACTTCATCAATTTACTTAATTTCTTCTGGCTATCATTTTACCTTTTGTGCGATAAAATATTTTGGATATTCCAATTTTTATTCTTTTATACTATAGATTCTTTTATATATATATTTTTTATATTTATTGTTTTTTATATATTATACTATTATATTATATTATTATTCTTTATATAATAATTTAAATTAAAAAAAAATAATATTAAAATTTTTATAAAATTTAATTTATTGATTGAAAAGAATATTGTACTTGGGGGTCCCCTACTATTTTCACGGCACAAAATTATCGCCATTTAGATTTAGTTATTGCCAGTCAAGGTGCGAATTTATGATTATTATCTGTTATGCAAGCCTGACGGCGGAAAGTGGCGAATAGTAATGATATCAGAGGATTCTTCGCATTTAAACTCGTATATTCTTAGATGTACATTCATTCCGGTGGGGTTCAATTCAGTGACCTCTAATCGATGACCGATTTAAAGGGGACGACTCAAAAGAGATACCCACGGCCTTTTGTCGTTGCCTGATTGTTTACAGATTCTTCAAGGAAATGAAAGTAGACCAAGTCCGATGCGTAGCGTGTTTGTCACACTGATACGTCTTATCTGCATTAAGATAGGAGGAAAGCCCCTCCGATTCCTAAGCCTATGGCACCCACAGAGTAGGCATAAATACGTTGGCCAGTAGCCAGTTAGGAGCAAGTTTCGAACGAACCTCACAGCGAGCAACATGCAGTCCTCTCTCATCGCCATCCTGCTGGCCACCGTGGCTATCGGCTCCTGCACCGCGAATCCCAGTCTTATCTCTGGTCCTTCGCGCATTCTTGAGATAATGAGCGCCACCAGCGATATGCAGCGTAATAATCCACAACTGGCACTAGAATGCTTCGACTACTACAATGCTCTGTTCAAATCCGAGTATGAGGAGTATGTGGATGAGTACAACCAGTGCATCACCACCTATGATGGCGGTTATGAACTGGTCCTGCAGCGGTACGTACCCATTGCCTGGGGCATCAGCAATACCACCTTCGACTCCTGCATGTACCTGCTGGACTGTGATAACCAGAATAGCAGTGAGAACGCTCTGTCCTGCTACGCCAGTGAGGTGAGTGATCAGTGAATTGATTTTTGAACTACAATTACTCGTGTTTGGAAACTCTGAGGTTCCCAATATCAAAGGAGGTAGCCTTGGCCGGCTAGGTTTTATTTTCTAAAATTTACAAATATTTTAATGAATTTTACAGGGTCCCATTAAATCCAAGGAGTTGTCCAGTGTGGCCTACAATGCTTCGACCCAGGTCAGTTCGCTGCGTCAGGAGGTCGAGCAACTGGTGTTCACCCGTGATCAATGCTGCAACGAATCGTCCAGGAACTATGAGATCAGCTCCGGAGAGTCCTACCAAGCTCTTCAGAACTGCCTGGCAGGTCTGAGTCCAGTGCCGGAAAGTAGCACCACTACCACCACTTCCGCCACTACCACTACCCCCCAGACCACCACCACTACCCCCCAGCCCACCACCACTACCCCCCAGCCCACCACCACCGCCTCCCCCGTTGTTTCCACTGTTAGCTCCACAACCAGACCTGCAACCACATCCGCACCAATTATAAGTACGTCATCAACGGGATCTCCATCGACAGCTGCACGTTTCAGTTCCATGGAAAACAACAGTGGCCGATTTGCTAGAAAACTGGACAGTATTTTCAAGCATATGGCTTAAGAATTCATCAATATTAAGTTCAAAACCAATAAAATATTAAACAAGAACATTGAAAAGTGACTATATTAATAGTGAACAATTAATTAAGGATATATTTTTAATATATATTTTATTCAGTCATTGCATAGCAATTGAAAAAGGGGTTTTGTTCAAAATAATATTGCAGAACGTACTAAAACTATATTTTAAATGCCTTTTGAGACTGCATGGAAAACTGAATGCATTGCTTCGTCTGAACAGCTTTCACCGGTTTTCAGTAAACTTCTCATTCAATTGAAAAACATGCCTAAGGCTTTGAGAAATGGCAATGGCAATGGCTTAAGGACTGGCTCCAATCTTCAAACCAAACAGATGGAATCAAGTGATGAAGTCAATCTGGGAACTCAAACGAGAAACTAAAACCCATTGCAACTTACTTAATTAACGGACCGATCTAGGTGGAAAACCGAGTTGGAAGCCAACCTGATGTGATGCAAATAAAACTTTTTGCATTTGCCATCAGTCCAAGTTTATCAAAGATCCGCAGGACACGGGCGGAGGAGGAGACGAGGTGGGGTTGGAAGGACAAACATGTAAATCAGCCTGGGAAAACTTTACCCCGGGCAGGACAAACAAAAAGGGCGAGCAAAAAGGAAATCTAGGACGGGACACTTTAAGGTAGCGGTAACAGTAATATAAACAGTTGAGCCATTTTCCTAGCGGTGTTTTTTATTCAATTTTAATTGCGTGTGGTGTTATTGTTTGCACAGCTGCCAGCGGCCTTGTTGTCACTGCAATTAAAACAAATTAGAAGCGCTGTGCAAGGGGGAGATTTCACTTTGCCAAAATAAAGCCAATATCTTGGCAACTCCCAGTATCCTGCATCCCTGCATCCTTGCAGTCTGGCAGCCCGCCTGTTGGTTGGAAGAGCGATACCTAAAACACACACACTCCAAGGAGAACACGCAATTAAGATATGCAAATTAGAAGTTGTCCTTGCTCCGGCAGCTCCTGTATTCCTGATGGCATCTTCACTTCACTGGGCTGTAATAATTATTCAGAGGTATGCGATGAATACGGCTTTAATCTTGGTCAACTATCTCAACGATAGATTTCTTTTTAGGCAGCAATAATGGGTAAAGTGAATCATTAAACTTTTTCAAATGTAATTATTGTGTTGCCTGTAAGTGACCGACAAGCGGTGTTGATAAGGTTGAAGTGTGTATTGTTCGGGCATTAGTCATAGCAATTATATCAATATCAAGTAATCAATCTGTGCCCGAATATTGACTCAAAAATTAATTGACAACGGTTGGTAAATCCTAAAATCCGCGGTCTATAATTATTACTTCCCAGTTCGGGAAACTCAACCCGGCCAAGGCGAACGCCTTGTCGAAATTATTTATTTTCACCAGTAACACTCAATAATAAGATACAATCGGAATACCCAGGTATCGGGGTATCAAGAGGTTTGAGAATATTCCAAGAATTGAATTGCAAATAAGACGTATACACATAGGCCGCACGTGTGTCTTCGTACTATAAACACTCCAACTAGATTAGATTATTTTAGCCTTAAATTCCTAGCAATGTGCTTCCTTTTTAGTAAGCTCGGCTAATTGCGAATGAAGATCAGTTCTAGGAAGCATAGACTTCGATCGAATGCTGATCTAAGTGCATAAAAATATTGGGAGTGGGGTGAAGGAAGCCCTTGAACTGGATTTGCCGGGTGGGTCCCAATAGAGTGACGGTTATAAAACCGATAGGACTGATAACTAGGGCCGGGTTTTTGAGATAGCTCGAGTGATAGGCTAAAACTGAACAATAACATGGCAATAACATGCGGTTTTTAATGGACACAAAGGCAGAAACACTATTTTATGGACCACTCCAATCGCGACGGCTATAAATACTGAAGGGGCTAGTTGAATCCAATAAGTACGTATCGATCGCTGGGACAGTTACAACGTGAACAGTAATTGAACAAGTGTTTGCTCCTTCGAAAATGGCAGTCAAGCTGAGCGTTATCCTTTTCGTCATTTGCCTTAGTCAGGTCATGGCGTATTCTCCGCTGCAACTGAACAATCCACACCAGAACTTGGTGCAGTTCCTGATACAATCCCGTGATCTCAGCAGCGATAGTGACCATACCCTTGTATGCTTGGATTATTATCTTCCCCTGCTTAACGACGTGGTGGAGACGTACAAGGCCGATCTGAGCGCGTGTTTGGATGAAGCTGCTCTGGAGGTCTCACAGATCAACGACAACACCAAGGAAGAACGAGATGCCATCGACGCCTCCGCCCAGAGCTCCTGCAATGCCCTCACCGCATGTAGTGCCCAGGAAGACGCCATAGATTACTTCAAGTGCTACAGTGAAGCAGTAAGTTGACTGCTGATGTCTTGGCTAACACATCATGCCCAAATATATGAATAAACATGATTTTCCAGCTTACTAATTTTTCCATGTGCTCCATTTCAGGGTGCCAACAACACCAAAACCATGTTCACCATCTCCGCTAACGCTTCCGAGCTGCTGGCTGCTGTGCAGGAGGAAGTGCGTCTAATCAAGGTGAAAGAAGAGGTGTGCACGAACAAAACGCAGAGGGCCTATGGAGAGAACTATGCTGAGCTTTACGGGGATTTGAGCAATTGCATTGCTGGCGCTCCTGTTCCATCGGAAACTTCAAGCACACAGGCCTCCTCCACGGATTCATCGACTGATTCGACCTCCGCTTCCACCGAATCCTCTACTGATTCCTCCACCGATTCGTCCTCCGTTTCAACCGAATCCTCTACTGATTCCTCCACCGATTCTTCGACTGATTCGTCATCTGAGTCCACCGAATCCTCCACCGAATCCTCCACTGATTCCTCGACTGATTCGTCCTCCGTTTCAACCGAATCCTCTACTGATTCCTCCACCGATTCCTCGACTGATTCGTCATCTGAGTCCACCGAATCCTCCACCGAATCCTCCACCGAATCCTCCACCGAATCCTCCACCGAATCCTCCACCGAATCCTCCACCGAATCCTCCACCGAATCCTCCACCGAATCCTCCACTGATTCCTCGACTGATTCGTCCTCCGTTTCAACCGAATCCTCTACTGAGTCCTCATCTGTTTCCACGGAAGGTGGCGCAGGTGAAAAGGAAGCGGCACCTGAGGAGGACTTGAGATCCCTCTCCTCTCAGAACAGGAATGACCTCCAGAAGATTCTTAAGAATCTACAGCTGTGGTTCAAAACTCACTAAGCCGTCGTGCTAATTTTAAATTTAAACATAAATGAAGAAAGCCCAAATAAATATACATATATACATTATTTATTGGAAAATAAGAAGATTAAGTGTTCTTCCTTGTGTGTAACTTTATAAGCGAACACTGAGTAAAAATTTGAAGAAAACAACCGTGTGATTCATTGTGTAACCCACTAAAGATATCCCCTGTTATCAAGTGCCTCGTTGAGGCGCCAAAGTACAGTGTTACCCAGCACTTGACTAACCATCCGTTAGGAAATCAATTATATGCGGTCAGCCGATAAGCTACCATCTATACTAGCCATTACCAATGCCAGATAACAGGGCTATTTATGGAGGGTTGGGTCAGTGAAAAACTTATTAAAAATGAAATTGGAAGGAATAATGACCGATTTGGAGAGCACGATAGCAACCTAATTAGCTTTTAATCAACATGATTAAAAGATTTCTCAATGACAGTTCCAACTAACGAAAATTATGATAAAACAGGGCTATAAAAATATGAACCATTAGCCAGTAGCATTCAGTACGAATTCGAGATCCGTTAAGTCGGCTAGTTAAGTAGGAGTACCAAATATGAAGTTCGCTGTTGTCCTGTGCCTGCTTTTGGCCACCAGTGGTTTTGCCCTGGTTCCCAAGCATCCCGCAGATGGAGACATAGTCTCCATGCTGGCCCGCCAGCAGTTCGCAGTTCGCACTTTAATAGCCGCTCCCGAGGCACGGGATGGATCGGCCCAGATCAATGACTGCTTCAACCAGTATCTGGAGGACCAGACCAACGTGATCATGGGTTACAATGTGAAGTACACCGGATGCCTGAGGACCGCACAAAGTGATCGGGACGAGCTCACTAAGCAGAGCGCCTCGGAGCGCGAAGCCCTTCTGGAGCGCACCAACAACATGTGCTCCAGTCTGACCCAGTGCGATACCCTTGCGGATGGCCAGGAATTCTTCGACTGCTACCGCAATGCCGTAAGTATAAGATCTCGATCTCGAGAAGTTGATCAACAGCTTCAAGCACTAACGATTATAATGGAAAACTCTTTAAAATGTGCTTCAGCAACACATTGGTCAAGATTTTGATTCGTATTGTTTATTGCTTGATTAGAGTGTAATCAATAAGCGTGCCATTATCTCAAATCCATTAAACCCTTTATGGTATATAGAGCGTGCATAATGCTTTTGTATTATTAGAGAGCTGAAGTGTTTTATAAAGACGAGACTGTCAGTCTTGAACAATTCTTTGCAGCATATAAATAGTAACATGTGCCATCTTTTAGTCCTCCGACAGCTACAAGGTAATGTTCACCCTGAACAGTGACTCCAGCACGGACTATAACCGCATCAGTGCCAAGTACCAAGTGATCGAGACCGATCTTACCGCCTGTGTGGATGAGGCTCGCTTGAATTACGCCCAAGATTTGGACGCGTGCGACGAGAATCTGACGATCTGCTTAAATGGAGGCGAGACTTCCCCTGAACCGTCTAATCCCACTACGACCTCTGAAGCTCCATTGACCACCACTACTCCTGAAGCTCCAGTCACCACAACTACTCCTGAAGTTCCTGTGACCACCACTACTCCTGAAGCTCCAGTCACCACAACTACTCCTGAAGCTCCAGTGACCACCACTACTCCTGAAGCTCCAGTCACCACAACTACTCCTGAAGTTCCTGTGACCACCACTACTCCTGAGGCTCCAGTGACCACCACTACTCCTGAAGCTCCAGTGACCACCACTACTCCTGAAGCTCCAGTGACCACCACTACTCCTGAAGCTCCTGTGACCACCACTACCCCTGAAGCTCCAGTGACCACCACTACTCCTGAGGCTCCAGTGACCACCACTACTCCTGAAGCTCCAGTCACCACTACTACTCCTGAAGTTCCAGTGACCACCACTACCCCTGAAGCTCCAGTGACCACCACTACCCCTGAAGCTCCAGTGACCACCACTACTCCTGAAGCTCCAGTGACCACCACTACTCCTGAAGCTCCAGTGACCACAACCACTCCTGAAGCTCCAGTGACCACTACTACTCCTGAAGCTCCAATCACCACAACTACTCCTGAAGTTCCAGTGACCACCACTACCCCTGAAGCTCCAGTGACCACCACTACCCCTGAAGCTCCAGTGACCACCACTACTCCTGAGGCTCCAGTGACCACCACTACTCCTGAAGCTCCTGTGACCACCACTACCCCTGAAGCTCCAGTGACCACCACTACTCCTGAAGCTCCAGTGACCACCACTACTCCTGAAGCTCCAGTGACCACAACTACTCCTGAAGTTCCTGTGACCACCACTACTCCTGAGGCTCCAGTGACCACCACTACCCCTGAAGCTCCAGTGACCACGACAACCCCCGCTACCACTAGCGAGCAACCACCTGAGGAAGATATTAACAAATCCGTGCGTTTCGGTCAGAGGAGATCTTGGAACCTGTTTAAGCGCTTCTTCTAATCGTGAGGAATTTTTAATTATTTATTGCATTTACTGGGAAAATTTAAGAACCGCAGAGGTCCTAATAAAATTGGCTGCGTCTAAAGCGTAGAATACTTTTGGGTTCGATCTCAAATTGTTTTCATAGAAAGGTGAAAGCAGTGACGCAAGCAAATTGTCCGAAAAGGGGTCCTTAAAAATATAAATAAATTTTTTATTAGTAGACTAAAACTTAAATTAAATATTTAGAAATTGTATGAATTTTTTCTTTTGAATTCTAAATTTAAAGTGGGCTGCAAAGTAGATGAACCGTCTAAGGTGCCACACTGGAAGTAATCTAATCGCTGATAGATGACGGAGTAATGAGCTGTATCTTGCCTGTCCAACCAGATAGGCGCCATACTATGGGCTACTGGGCCTGCCACTACCCTTAGATCAGAGAGCTTCGATCTACTGGACGGCTCTACTGGCAATCATTGCGCCCGGTAGTAGATAAGTGGCACACCTGAACTTGCCATAAATATCTGGCCTTCGGGCTGGTCAATAAAGCCGATTGGTGCAGAACCGACTTATTAGGAAATGATCAATTAGACGCTCGGCACTTGAGCATTTTCGTTGGTTCTTGGAGGCATTCGAGACCGGCGATCAAATGGAAGCACCACGTCGATTTTTAAGAACGGAGACCCGTTGTCGCCTCTACGGGCTGCATACCTTATTATTGCTTGTCCTATTTTTGGGTTTCTCGGAGGCTGCTGAGGTCCCGGACTTGACCACCCCCGAACCGGATCTCACTATAGACGAATGCCACGATGAGTTCACCATCGCCTGTGCCAACGCCTCACAAGTTTTCTCCGATTCCTACGAACTGTGCGAACTGAATGCCAATGAGACCATCATCAATCTAGAGGTCGATACGGAACTGGAGCGACTCCAAATCGAGTTGGGATCCAGTGCGGTGTGCGGAAATATGCAAATCTGCGACACATTGGCTGACGATCTGGAGTACTTTCAGTGCATCAATAGAAACGTAAGTTATCTAATTACTTAAATGATGTTCAAGATTACTTTTAATTGTGTGGAGTACGAAATTTAAATTCAAAATTGATATATCCACATATATACAAATTTTTTTTTAGGGAATCCGGAACCTGGACATTCTGACCGAAATAAATTACAATGCCACTAGTGCGTATACACGACTGCACGAGGATTACGATGCAGTGCATCGGACGTATCTGCTGTGCGGCCTCGATGCCCAGAAGAAGTACATGGAGGACATAAGACAGGCCCACAGAGAACTCACTCAATGTCGATCGGAAATCGACGAGCTGAACGATTAATTACCGCTTATCTGTCACAATTCAAAGAAAATGATAAAGGGTGAATAAACACCATCATATATGCACATAAATCGCTCTAGTTTACTAAGAATTGATATTATTTGCTGATAGGAATATAATTTTTATGATTTGTTTATTGGCAGATACATCTTAGATACATCTTAGTCTATTACGCATAACTTTCATAGTTAAGTTCTATTATACATGGAAGTACAATAAATATTTATTAATGTGTATCATTTTGCTGCAGACATTGATCCAAGGATCCAAAGATTGCATCGGTTCCTTTGACATACTTTTGTTCGGTTTGATTTGTGCACCGATAGTGCTCCAATTCGATTCTACTTAATTTCTTATTTAGGATTATGGCCTGCTCGGTGGCATTAAATGAAATACTGTAGACATTTGCCAACTGTAGCTTGGCCTACGGGGAAGCTAAGGTTAAAAAGATATTGAATCAACGGACTGCCACTCACCATTTTGGCAAAGCAATTGAAAAAGTCCAGGGACTCCGTCAAGGCCAAACACTGATCAATAAAAGAAGATATGCCCATGGCAGCATCTCGAATCTCCTCCTGAGCTCCAGTGGCATCCGTTAGCAAGGACTGCCCTTCGGTAATGGTACTCTTCTGACAGGCACTATATCCCTGCGACCAGGTAGCCCCTTCACTTTCCAGTTCTGGTAGATAACGGGCAAAACAGTTCTTGGTGTTGCCCAGACTAGAAAGAGTTTCCTTCCCATCATCTAGGTAGGAACACAATGAGTTCAGAGTTCGTGGAGGAGGCTCAGCATACGCCTAGAAAGATAGATACAATTATTTAAAAATATATAATATAATTTGTATTTACCTTAAGGGCTAGAAGCAGAATAATAGCAGTTTTCATGGCACTAATGACGATAAAACACTGACGGAAATCGAAGAAAAAATGTCCGCGTCAAGTTACCGAAAGTTGGTAGTGTAATCTGACAGTGATGTATGGTTTGTTTATAGGCTTTTTATCGCTGGGGTTCGTCTGCAAATAACAATCCAGTGGCTCCCAAACTTTGCACTTCGATGACGAGCAAAAAGTGTTGCATACTTTTAGTTAAAGGGAAAACTTTTCCGGCGAAAGTTCGTCTCAGCAATGAATTACGTCACTCGATAACCAGTAATGGGAAATTGTTCAATAGATATTCGTATGTATTAACCAATTGGTTACAGCAATCGCGTCCATCTATCGTAAACCTCTAAGCCGCTAAATTACCATTGATAAGTTCAAAGAACCGCGAGTTAGGCCTTCCGGTAGTTCCTGGCCACCTTATCTTCTGACTATCAGCTTTTGACCCTGAATACACGTGTTTGGCATCGAATGGGAATGCACATGCAAAGCAATTTGTGGGTCTGGGCATTACGCATACGCATTAATGCTACCTAATTGATCGACGCGCGGCAGCAGGAAAATATTCGCAAAAATATCATTTCGGCCAAACGGATCAATCATTCGCACCGCCGGCCACGTATATAAAGGTTTTGTACCCCTTCCTTGGTAGCGACAGTAAAGATCGAGCCACCAGCAAAACGACCGCCAACATGAAGCTTCTGTGCAGTGTCCTAATCCTCGCCAGCGTTCTGGCGGCCAACGTAACAAATTATTTCATATCCACCAGCTTTCTGGCAATAACCAGTTTGGCTCTCCCTTGAGCAGGCCAAGCCCAATGTTCAGCTGCAGCTGCAGAGTGCCCTGGATCAGTATCTGGTGCACGCCCGCAATCTGGATGCCACCGTTTCCGCGGATGTGACCACCCAGTGCTTCAACCTCTATCTGCCCATGCTGAACGAAGTGGCTGCCACCTTCTCCACTTCCTACCAGGCCTGCATCAGCACCGCCAACGCCGAGACCGCCAATCTGACCGCCGAGGCCGACAAGCAGCAGAAGATCTACCAGACGGAGGTCACCAGCCTCTGCAGCGCCTTCACCGCCTGCAACAGCGACAACGACACCACTACCTTCTTCAACTGCTACGCCAGTGCGGTGAGTTAAAGCTAGATGATCCTCCCACTCATAGAGCCAAACTAAACGAACGAATTTCGAATAGTACACCGAATATTTTATGCTGGAAGGTCAAAGACTAGATCAATTTATATTTTATATAAATTTATACTAATCGTATTATTTCCTAAGGCCGAGAGCGATGTCTCTGTGATCTACGACATCGCCACCAATGCCGCCACTTCGGCCAGCTCCTTGAGCATGGGCATCCAGGCTATCCAGGCCACCGAGAACCAGTGCACCAACACCACGGAGAGTGACTACGTCCGGGATACCGCTGCCACCTACGATCTGCTGGACAGCTGCCTGAAGTACGGAGTGCCCACCACCACCAGCTCCACCGCCGCCCCCTCCTCATCCAGCCCCGTTGCTAGCTCGAGCGGGGCTCCTGTCACTGATGGCACCACTGTTGTGGCATCGTCCACCACCGCTGCTTCCACCACTGTGGCTGTGAGCACCGCTGCCCCCGTAACCGCTGCACCCGTTACCGCTGCACCCGTAACTGCTGCAACCGTAACTGCTGCACCCGTTACCGTTGCACCCGTAACTGCTGCACCCGTTACCGCTGCCCCCGTTACCGTTGCACCCGTAACTGCTGCACCCGGAACCCCTGCTTCGGCAACCACGGCCGCTGCTGGCACTCCGGCATCTTCTTAAGTCAAGTAATCGCAAGCAATAAATGAGCATTTAAAAAAATTTAAAAAACTGTCCCATACAAATTTCATATGAACAGTGAAATTTACTTCATTAATTTCAAGCAATAGAAGTTAACTTATTTCACAAATAATCTACGAGTTTAACACCATATGAATGCAGAACAGGGATACAGCCATAAGCTGTGCTAAGTCCGCTTTGGTGACCTTAACTTACAATGGTGGGATGATATTTCGAGGGATCATATCATATCATAGCCTTCAAAAGCTACAAAAGCTGGACTGGCTCCTGCGGTCAAACTTCAGCTCTCAACAAAAGTCCTACTCATCCTACTCATCCTATGCCTGTTTAAACTGAGCATCCGGGCTTCCTTGGTAAATCCTCTGTGATCTCCCTACCCGTATTATTTTCCTAAGCGTTCAAATATTCATAAATAACTTCTAGTTGCGCCAGAAACATTTAGCGTCAGAAACATCAAAATCCGATTACGATAAGTTGAGTTATGGAGTATAGAACTTCAGCCTTAGGCAATTATTGATTTTTTTTGGATTTCTACATCATGACTCGGCTGTTGATCCCGATCAAGAATATATATACTTAATATGGTCGGAAACGTTTCCTTCTGCCTGTAACATACTTTTCAGCGAATCTAGTATACCCTTTTACTCTACGAGTAACGGGTATAAAAAAAAGTTGAAGGACACAAATGTTGCATACTTTTCGGTCAAAAAGTATATGTTATTTAAAACCAGAAAGGAAGCTTGCTTCGGAAAGCCGAAAGTTATAAGCCCTTGCAGTAATTATATATTAAAAAAATAATGATCGAAAGCAACGAAGCTATAAATCTTTTCTATTATTTTCAATTATTTTCCGACATGACAACAATATGAAAAACTGTTTCATATCGAATTAAAAGACGTAATGATCGAAAGCAACGCAGCTGGGAATTATTTTCCATTAAATCGATATTAATGATCAAGAATTTATATATGTATATGGCTGCAAATGTTTCCTTCAGTGCATTGCAAATTTCTCACTGAAATCAAAATACCCTCTGCAAGGATATGGAAAGTTTGTATCGTAATTCCACATTTGAATATGCCACATTGATACCAAAAGTTTTGCCAAGATATTGTGCTTCGTTACCGAATAGTTACAGCTATCGATTCCATGGATTGTAAACTCTTAAGCCGTTGAACTACCCTTGATAAGTTGAAACAATAGGTGCTCGTTGACTGCCTTATATCCTGACTCATCGATTGGAGCCGTCTGGTCATACGCCCTAATGCCACCTAATTGATCGGCATTCACTAGCAACAAAATAATCACACGAATTTCAAGTTTCTCAAACGGATCCATCATTTTACCGACCAGCCGCGTGTATAAAACATTTAGACCCTGTCTGCAGTAGGCCCAGTAAAGGAAGAACCGTCAACATGAATATTCTGTGCGCCGTGCTTATCATCGCCACCGTTGCGGCAGCCAACGTAAACAATACGTCACATCCGCCTGTTTTTCGATAGTAACCACTTCCGTTTCCAGGCCAAGCCCAATACGCAGGTCCAGAGTGCTTTGGATCAGTATCTGGTGCAAGCTCGCAGTCTGGATACATTCGTTTCGGAGGACATGACCACGCAGTGCTTTAACACTTACATGCCCCTGCTGAACCAACTGGCGGCCACTTTCTCGTCCTCCTATCAGGACTGCATCAACACCGCCAATGCCCAGACCGCCAATCTGACCGCCCAGGCGGAAGAGCAGCAGAAGACCTATCAGTCGGAGGTCACCAGCCTGTGCAGTGCCTTTACCGCCTGCGACAGTAACAATGACACTACCACCTTCTTCAACTGCTACGCCAACGCGGTAAGAAAAGCTACTTTGAGATGGAAAAGTATTGAGTACTGATTTCGAATTGTCCTGTAGGCTGATAATGATGTCTCCGTGATCTACAACCTGGCCAGCAATGCTGCCAGTGCGGCCAGCTCCTTGAGCTCGGGCATCCAAGCCATCCAGAGCACGGAGTACCAGTGCACCAATACCACGCAAAACAACTACGTCCGTGATACTGCTGCCACCTACGATCTGCTGGACAGCTGCCTGAAGTACGGAGTGCCCACCACTACTGCCACATCGCCATCTGAGCCGCCGACTACCTCTACCACAGACGGGTTCTTCTTTGGCCTTTAAAGAAATCTGAAACTTTAACGTGTCTAAATCTTTGGTGATATTACATGTGTGCTTTTCACCAAGAAACGAAATGTGTAACCCAAAAGTGTATTTTATGGTTCAGTAAATGTTGTTTATTGTTACTTTAATAAGAGCCAAAACAAATAATACAATTATACTGCAAAATAGAAAGTCGCTGGAATTTGTAGCTTGCATAATTTTTTCTGCGCAGTATACAGATGCTCTTAGAAACATGCTTTCGTGTAATATTCGGCTATCAAGTCTCTTGGTTAGAGATTCTAGGGCAGACACTCATCAGTCTGCCCAGCAGCCCAGCAGCATCGACGGAAAGTTTTTTCTCGGAGAATAGAAACAGATAATCGCCGAACAGTCTGGCCGGCCGAACTTACACCTTTCGATTGGCGAGCGGGCATAAATATTCAATCGGAGTGGGCCTTATCGGCGATACATTCAATTATCTCTGCGGTTTGCGGCTGTTGGCGCTTTAAAGTGTGCCCACACACACGGGGTTGTGCTCAGTCGAATTTTGTTCTCGGACCATTAAACATTACCCATTCAGCATTCAGCATTCAGCATTCAACATGGAAGGCCAACGCGTGGCAGTCGTCGCATTTGCTGTTGTTCTCGCCGGACTGTGCGTGCTATCCGGCCTGAATGTAATGAAAATGAAAATGGAAATGAAAATGAGACCGAGTTGGTGACAATCGAGTAACCGTAACCCTCTATCCGCCTTCTCCTACAGGCGGCACCCGTGGAATGCAATAATGGCAATGGCATCCAGATCTCTGACGATGGCTTCCAGAGCCAGACTCAAACCGGTCCCGGCTGCCAGACCCAGACCTCCGAGGACGGCACCCAGAGCCAGAGCCAGAGTCAGTCGGGCAATGGCTACCAGTCGCAGACGCAGTGCAGCGGCTCATCCTGCGGTCAGTTCAACACCTTCCCGCCTCTGTTCACCTTTGAGCCGATGGAGCCCCTGAAACCCATCACCTGGCAGCCTTTTGGCCAAATGGGGGGCAATCAGCTGCAGCAGCAGTACACTTATGGCTAACTTCTTGCCTAAAGGAAGTATTTTAATAAAACTTTGAATTTTTCATATTTCAAAAATATTCAGTTTATATAGGAAATGTATGGGCAATTGAAAAATATTTAAAAAGCTAATATTTGTCAGTGAAATGAGTTGGGATGCACAGCGATTTAATGATCTATCACCACAATGGATAATCCAAAATAAATGGATTTCTTTTACTTATATCAAGAAAGTTGTTGTATTCAAGCTGAGTTCTTAAAGCAGCAAAAATTCCCAAAAAATGATTTCTCCAAAGTCTAAAAATATTCCCATTTAAATTCCATAATATTCATGAGTTACAACAAATGTTTTCGGTGTAATCAAACAATAAAAGCGAACTTGAGTTTGGATGCTTAGTCTGGCGCTTGTCTAGCATCGCTAGATCTCGGAATTCAATGACTCATTTATTGTTTTTTTATAGTCCGACTTATTTACATTTGAAGTCATGTGAGGTTGCTGCTAATCTAGCAACGTTTCGTTTTGGTATTGTGTGCGATTGTTCACTGATTGTTCTGTAGATTTGGCGTAAATGTTCTGACAATGAGCATTTCTGATTTGAACACGATCAGAGATAATCGCTTTGAAGAGTAAAAATAAGTTGTCTTACACTTGAAACTAAGAGACTCTACATATTCAATAAATTCAATCGATGTAAGATAATAACACTAGAAATACTTAAAAACTATAGTTCGATCTGAAGCAGTTTTATTTTGCATTCTAGACTTTACTCTTACATACAAATTGATTGTACGTATCATGAAATGTTATCCACGATTTTCGAGAGTTACCAACGAAAACTTTTGCTTATCTCCTGAATCACTGGAATTGCACCTCCAGAAAAGCAAAAATAATGATGAATGTTCGCGAAAGTCTCGTCTGTGGTTAATGCATTTTTTGTTTTCCTGTCACTTTTGCCGCTGTCGCTGCAGCAGATAAAACTTTTATAATGCGCCCAACTTTCCGGCAATGCGCGGTGTGGCATCACTTTTGGCAGGCACTGTGGCACCTTTTTCTGCGACTTTCGGCTCCCGGCCTTCGGCGACGTGTGCAAGTAATTGTGGCAAAAGGCAGCACAATAATCAGCGGCAGAAGGATATCGTCAAGCGGTGACGGTGCCGCCAGCTGGCTTTTAACTCATTTTCTGATTAAAATCTGGGCCATTAAGCGTGCCAGCTCGAATCGGACTAAACTTTTTTAATGGCCCTGACAATAGTTGCCGACGTCAGTGGCGCGGCGAGTTCCTTTCTGATCCTGCAGTGCAGCCGCAAAAGGACGCGCGAAAATTGGCGCCTGCAACCAACGACGTTGGTCACGACAGGGTGCAGAATTCGGTGTAAAATTAAATTAAAACTGCCAAGGGAAAAGAGTTGGGGCATAGGCGTGCACAGCGAGAAATAACTGCTGCCCGCTTTGCTATCTGCACCATATCTTCACGGAGCTATCAGTGGAATTTAGTTTAACATGCCTTACTTGGTAACACACTGCGATAAGGCTATAAATGAGAAAGAGTTGTTTACCTAGTAAATGTCATATCAATTATTTTATTCTGATAAGATGCCAATTAGCATGACCTGGGCTAAGTTTAAATATTGCGTAGTGCATAATGTTTATTTACTATTTGTTGATTAACATTTCGCTAATCTATATTACAATTAAAGCACCATCTTCAGCTGGTGCTGCACCAAAAACTGAAAAGTCAAGTTATGATAAGTGCTAATTAAGCTCTGGCTTTTTTCCCGGTGTGGCTAAAAAGCGAGCCGAAAGCTGTGAAAATATTTGCGAGCCTTCGAGAAGGAGCAGCAGCAGATGGGCGGAAGCAGCAGGATGAGGACCAGGATCCGATGTAGAACTCTCAGCGCCAGCTGTCAGCGGCTGCCAGAGCAACGATGTCAATTAGTTTTTGAAGCGACGCTGACCTCTTTGGTCCCCCACTGGATAACGCCAGTATCCAATCCTTTCCTGCCTCCGTCTCCATCTCTGGCCCGCCTCCAACTTGGCCTTGCTGGTCCTTTGGCCAAGTCAAGTTGGCTTTAAGTTAATTGCATAAGATTTCACTTTGCACTTGCAATGCTGCTGCTTCTTCTGCTTCTGCTGCTGGTGCTACTTCCGTTTCCGCTCGCTCCGTGCCATTTTTTAATCAAGTTAAAAGTTATTCTCAAATGGAGTGGAGGGAGCAAAATATGCAATCGCAATGCAAATATCACAAAGAGCCTCCATCTATGGTTGCATCTCGATTGCAATGCTGCAGCAAGAAATATTTACGTACTGATTATTTCATGTGGCATCCGGGGCCAAATTGGTTTTGCCATTCAAACGCCCTCGACTCGTTAATGTATGCATGTTTTTAAATGCTTTCGTCACATTTAATTTGTGAGATATTCATATGCCATCCTGTGCATTTTTTTGCAAATACGGAAAATGTTAATTAAACTCGAAAGTGTGGGCAGTTGAAATTGCAGCACAGTGACGTCGATTTGTTGAACATGGTGAGTGAGATAAGTGGTTTTTATTTTCCTCCGCTCAACTGTTTATTGATATTAAAAGATAATATTAATTTGGCTGTTTGCAAATGGCATTTAACGAGCTTTAAGAAAATATTGCCCATTTAGTATTATGTTAAGCCTGCTACATTTTAATCCAAGACAAGAGCATTGAATACTATAGCGTAATGGGTTGTCGACTTTGTTAAACGCGTTTTAATTTTCATAATATTTATGTGGCTGCTTTCGTTTTCATCTGCCCACCATATTTCATTTGTCATTTGGCTTGCCACTCTTTTTTTCCATTTTTATAAATTATCTTTGGCAACAACACAAGCACACAGCCATCGAGAGCCCCCCAAAGCTGGAGCTATTTCGGGTGCTTTACACCTGCAAAGTGCCTTTGATTGATGATACAGGTAATTGATAAGGCGCCTCAAATACCTCGGGTGGCTTCTTTGCCCACCCCCAGCTAATTGGCTGCTAAGTAGGTGATGTTTAAAAATATTTCAGCGGAGCATTCTCGCAGTACACCTTCCCCATTTCGGGACGGGTCTTTGCCTAATTATGCACTCAAAGCTTAGTCAACGAGCTCGTTCCGAGATGGTTTGAGCTAATTAGGGCGTCCAACGTTAATTGCAATTTGCACTGGCAGTGCCAAGGGAAAGGGCATTTTCCAGGGGGGGCGAGGGTGGAAAACGGCGGGTGGAAGGCTCGGGGAAAACCCAGCTTGCCGGTTACGAGATGTCGCTCAAGTTCTTCAGCTGTTGCTGTCGTTTTGGCGGCGTTGTCACGTTTTTGGTTGCTGCGATTCTGTATGACTTCATTTCTGCATGCCACAGATGTTGCACTTGCTATGCGATTTGCACTTACGTGTGAATGGGATGGATAGGGTGGACGGAAAGGGATGGATGATGAACACTGAGAGCTTTTCTATACGTTACAATTCTTGTTTTAAGTAAAATAAAACTTTATATTTGCATTTGAAAGTGGTGTCAAAATATTCCAACACATAGACTTCGTTTACAAATATCTACAAGTTAATTAGTATTACCTCATTCAAAAGTTAAAGCTCAGACAGTGAAATATGCAAGGAAGAAAAATTTCAGATAAATATTTCTAGATATAAGTCACATAGAAATGGGCTGCCTTTTTTTTCGGTGCAGAAATAAAAACCAGATAAGTGCCGATGTAACCGAATCTTGACTGGCTTTTCTGTCTGGGGCAGAGCCGAAAATTTTCTAATTTTCTACTGCAGTGATTTCGCATGCATAGAGAGTTGCACTGTCCGCCTCCTGATTTCCCACTTTATTCGCTTTTCCCACTCTCCCTCTCCGCTTTTCCGCTCTCCGACATTTTTCCGGCTCTTCCCTGGGGCGCGTTCCACTGATTTATGCGCATCAATAAGTTCCCTGAGTGCGATACTTATGCGAAATGTGCCGCAATGAGACGTGGACTTGCCCATGCCACGTTCGCCTGCAGTTGCTGTCCACCATCCCCACCATCCCCACCATCTCCACGATTGTGCCAGATTTCCACCTCCTGCTGCTTCTGTTCCAGCTGCTAAAATAATGATTTGCATTTCGATTTGGGGTTCGATTTCGATTCGGATTCGGTTTCGGCTGAGATATATGGGTGGGGGCGAAAGAGAATGATGGCTTGGTCTAATGAGAGAGCGTGCACAGAAAGAAATTCAGCTAAGGTTACAAGTGGAAATATTGCCAATAAAGAAACAATTAAGTTGGTTGTATAGATTAGGCTCTTTAATAGAGCATTTATTGTTTACGTGGCCGCTTGGCAGATAATTTGCCCAAGATTTATGAATTATTGAACTTAATTTGGTAGTTAAATGAGAAATTCTTAGCCCCCTTTTGTTGGGGTGTGGCCCATACCTAAGCGGCTTATCGCTTTTGGGGGGCACAAGCCAACTGGCTAGTCAAATAATTCATTTTCGCCGCTTTGTTTGTTGGCCACGTTTACGGCCCTCGCTTATCTTAATGGGTCAAAGGTTATGACCAGCCTTGAGATGAGACAGTCCGAGCTTCCGGCGACTGGTCTGGAAACCACGAACCACAGCGCTGACCACCAACAGACATCCTTTGCATTCAAACGGCGCTCCACGGTGGGTCCAAAGACTTTGACCAGAGATTAGGCGTGCTTAAAGTCAGATTTATGGATCGTCAGCGGGAGAACCTTTTAGCCCCGTCCACTCGATTTGGCAATAAACACACGATACACACGACGCAACTGCAGAGCCAGCAAATTTCGAGTTCCATAAGCGTCATTTAATTAATTCGAAAATTACGTTATTTTCGACTCCGGCCCTCTCTTCACTCGAGCAGCTAGAATACGGAGTCCTCAGTACGGAGTCTCGAGTCCGGATACACAAAGCCAATGAGGTCGGCTGGCTGGCTGGTTGGCTGGTGGGTTGGCTGGCATACTCGGCTCATTTGCTAAATCAAGCATGCGCCACTTAAATTTTCATTAGACTGTTTTCCCCGGCATCCACCTCAGACATTCGCAGCAAAAAGAGCCGCAGCAATGTGCGCACTTTGTCTTA